GGTTGAGGGTAGAGCTGGGAAGTAAGTGGGTCAAGGCTCTGGGCTAAGGGTGGGGTCAACACTGCAACTAATGCTTAGCTCCATAATAAGGGATTTATCTTTCACTGCTTCACAAATTGCTGTCTGTCAGATACTCCTCTAAATCTGAACACTCAGATTAAGTCAGACTAGGAAGAAGGATTGGCCACCCACTTCTGAAATAGCAGGCCTCTGAAAACCCTATGCACAACAGAACACAAGGAGTATAGGATGAGATATTTTTCTGTCGTTGTTAGGTGTTTTGTATTCTAGTTACAAAACCTGCTCTTCCTAGGTAACACTTACATTTCCTGACACACTAGTGCCCATTTTGGCAGTCACTGTTTTAATCACCTGAGTAAGGGTCTTCTTTTCCTTTGCCAGCATTCTACCTTTCCAAGCATGGTGTCTCTCTTCAAAGAATATCCTGGAAACGTGTCTGAAATATGTCAGGTGGAGCTTTATCATATTCCCTCTAAGGAGCACTCTGGCTGCACTTTCTCCAAGATATTTGCTTGTTCTTTTGGTGGTCCATGGAATATTCAGTACTTTTCTCTGACACCACATCTCAAAAGCATCTTCTGTTATCCTTATTCATTGTCCGGCTCTCAAATGTAAAACATATAATCTAAAGACCATGGCCTGAATCAGACAATGTGTACAACTGGGGTCTCTACATTGGTGGCCTAGTGACAAGAAGCTGCACTACAGTCCCAGAACATGCAGTTGGAGACTACTAAAGGTTCTTCAGGAGAGAATGAACCATCTCTTCCTGGGACGTTAACTGCCTCTGAAAACCACTAGGAGGTCAGCCATGGATCAGGTCCAACTCTATGGTACAACACAACAACATACGTGGAACAGGTCATTCAGGAGGCTGGACTATAAAAGTAGGAGTGTGACATCAATATTGGAAGAAGACTCATCTTCTGGTACTCCCTGCTTTCAGCTAAAATCCATCTAAAATTAGTTACAATATCGCTAGTACCACAACCACATCTAAACCCAGACTTCACTTCTGGTAGTTCTCTGTTGATGTTCTGTTCCAGTTGTTTTTGAAGAATCTTTAACAAAATGCTGCTTGTATGTGATGTCAATGCTATTGAAAACATAACCTTGGTTAACTTTTATGCGCCACATGATAGACCTGCAAAATACATAAAACAAAGATAAACAGAACTGAAGAAAGAATTAGACAGAACCACAATTGGGATAGGATATGCCAACACACAACTATCATCAAAGGATAGATCAACTCAAAAGAAACTCAACAACTATACAAAATATCTAAACTACACAATCAGCCTACTTGACCTTGTGGCTGTCTTAAGGGTACTGCATCAAACCGAAACTCAATTCACTCTCTTCTCAAGTGCACATGGTATGTTCTCCAGAATCAATCATATTTTAAAACCCAAAGCAAGCCTCAACAAATTTTTTAAAAAAGTTGAAATAATACAAAGTATTTTCTCAAACCACAAAGCCATAAAACTAGAAACTGACCACAGGAGAGTAAAACTTACAAAACCACCCATGTGGAAACAAAATAACTCTCTGCTAAGACATAATTGGGTTATAAAAGAAATACAAAAATTAACTAAAAATGTTTTTGAAACAAATGAAAATGAAAATACAACTTACTAAAACCTGTGTGATACAGTTAAGGCAGTCCTTGGGGGCAGTTCATAGCAGTAGGCACACACATAAAAAATGAAGAAAGGATAATAATCAGTGATCTACCTCAACATCTTAAGCAAATAGAAAAAAGAAACACAACAATTTAATCCTATAGCCTCTAGAAGATAAGAATTTATTATGACAAGAACTAAAATCAAAGAGACAGAAAACAGAAGAAAAAAAATTAAACTATCAATAAGACCAGGAGCTGTTTTTTGAACAGGTCAATAAAATTGACAAACTACTGACAAACTTAAAAGAGACAAAGGAAAAAAGAAAAGACACAGATAACTTGCTTAAGAGATAGAGTTGATATCACAACAGTAACAGAGGAAATAAAATTGATAATTTCAGAACACTATGAAAAGCTATACTCTGATAAATTCTGCAGCCCTCAGGCCTGGTTTTAATTGTTCTTGTCAAACATTCTTCTAAATGGTATAGCACTAGTCTGTCCATTTGCTGTACAGAGGTAACTCATAGTTGCTGTGATACTTAACACTGCGACACTGATATGTCAAATGAGATAATGGTTACCCATGGTGAACAGTGTTTGGTGGAGCTTCCTGATTAAAACAAGCTGGGAAGCAGAAGTGGCATCCACTTCCAAAACAGCTTGCCTCTGGAAACTGTGAACTTGGAGAAACGATGAAAGTTATACAAGTGTTCAGGTCTTCCATTCATAGGGTCACTATGAGTCATCTATGACTTGGCAGCACTTAACAACAACTATATATCTCATGAATATAGATGCAAAAATCTTTAACAAAATCCTAGCCAAGAGAATCCAAAAGCACATAAAAAATAATTCACTGTTTAAAAGGTATATATGGTAAGGTATTATTGTCATGACATGAGCCCAG